CTACCAATAATGGGCTAATATCAGGCAAATAACGCGGTTCACAGCTATTAATCGGCGGGATATACACATTAAGCACCTCTACCTCGGCAGTTCCACACTTGACTGCTACCCCCATACATTCCATGTATGGGTCACTAGAGACTAGCTCAAGCGAGATAGGTCTGTACTGAACAGAATGGTGTAACAGGAACGCTAATCCCCCACCTCCACTTCTGGTGCGATCCTTCCTTAGTACGTTGTAACCATAACAACGTTGTAGGCTGCAATTTTCATTCAGCTTGGTTTCCTGCACCGCTGCGATCTTAATATTCCTCCGACTCATAAATTCCACTATCTCATCTATTTTGCCTCGAAGTCCGTTGCAATTGAATTGCAAGAATGATGCACAATCCGGAGTTGGAACAGCAACATGTGGCGTTAGGTGCTGCGGTGTTGGTTGCTGTTCTGGAGACTGCGGTGGAGTGCCATACTCCGACGACGTCTCTGACGAGGACGACGAAGAAGAGGACTCGCTGGGGACTACGTTACTGCAGCAAGTCGCAACATAATCCCTTTCGCTGTAGTCTCGCAAACGCCATAATCCGGAACAGTTCTTGAAGTGTACCCACTCTCTGCATCCATTACATCGCACCGAGACAGATCTGTGGTGGATGACGTTCTGACAAACCGAGCAGAACCAAGGTCCGGGGTTTTCCTCAATCCCGGCACGGACCAATAAAATCCGGAGCAAGCATTCCGGGATATGCTGCTCCCAATGCAGAAAAATAAACATATAGTGATTTCCACAGACGGATAGACGTACGGACATCGCTAAATCGACATAGAATTTTATGCTGAGGTCTAAAATGTATATTTCGAGGTGGAGGGTATAAAAAGTGTATACTCATACATAAAAAGGATACAAAACCTTCTCCCAGTGAACATAAAACTAATTCGGATACTTTATTTATATATATTTCTTAATTTACAACGGTCAAGTATTTTTTTTTCTCACATTTTTAGTTTCCTTCCAAATGAAGGTTCTCTACACTTCAATGCCAGTGATTTTCATCCAATGCCTAAAATCACACTACAAATAATTGATTTAGCCCATGACCATGAAACAAATGATGTTCAAATCGGACAAAGTTTGGAATTGCAAATTGTGGCAGAATACACCGCGCAACAGCAAAGAGAATTTGCCCACATTGGACTACCAGCATTACCAGATTTCCGGGCCACTTCATTAATTGCCAAAACAATGGATAAACAAAATTTTGTCTTACTACTCGATGCACGTGGTTGTCCCACTGATGTAACAGTTTTTCCAGGGCTCGAACGTCAACGCTTAAATAACCGTAACATATTAAAGGCAAGATTTCATGCCTTTAAATTTGCCGGTTCATCATTGGTAAATTTTGATGTCCGCATACATTTCTGTTCAAATCGTTGTCCTGATGATAATTGTCTGAGTTCAGCACAAAGTGCCGGCGGCGGTTCAGCTTGGTATCCGATACAATCGGAAATGACCAAAAGTAAAAGACGAAGAAGACGGCAAATTGTTCCACCACAGAATAATTTTCAGCAATTTAAAGTTCAAAATCCAGTTTATATTTCCACGGTAATGGATGTTGTAAACTTACCAGAAAAGGATACAACTCCTACTACCAGTGAAAATGAAACCACTTCGGATTCGATACCTTTGAATTTTAACTTACATGTCCGTGGACCAGACAATACAAATACGAACAGCTTTATATATGGAGAGAGGGGTGTTTTACTAATTGCCGGTATTGGTAAGATCTTTTAAACCTTCTCTATCTATGTATTTTGAATAACATCATTGTTTTTTTTTTTATTATATTTCTACAGATGATCAACTCCACATGGAAAGCATTTGCATGAATCAAAGTCTACTCATCGCCCTACTCATATTCTGGCTAATATTTCAAATTGGTCTAATGTTTAGCTGTTGTTTTGTCATCCAAAAGTATAAACGTTTGGCAATGATGGATGATGAACGTCGCAAAATTCACGAAAGCTTAGAATACCTGGAAGGGCGTCGTGTACACTGGGCCGATCAGGGCGGCTATACATTGTAAATGGTAGATAAATATATGTGTGTAGAATATAGTACTTATTATTTTGTACAACTCCATATTGATGCAATAATATATACATTAATAAATTACATGTTTTTAAAATACATATGTATACTACATTGGATCTATACACCAATATTCTAAGCTGCTGTTTTTTTTTAACGAATTGTTTAATTTCTTGTTTCTTGCAATTAGGTAACGAGACAGTTATAGTATCAGGACCACTAAAATGATTTGCAAGATTATGGTCTGTTAAAATTGTTAGCTATTATTTCACACTTATTTAATCCAGAGTATGATTGACGTTAGGAATGTGTTTAGTTATTTGATTTAATGCTTTAGAAATTCTTCATAGTGGGTTTAAAGAAGTATCTAATTCGGGCAACGTTTTGTGCCATAATTTAATTCGGAAGAAATATAATTCGTATTGGACCCGTTTGTTCAAATGGTTCAACTTTTTAAAATTCTATCTGTAAACATGTTATATTAAAACTTTTCTAAAAGTCGGAGTCATTTTCTTGGGAAGGCTTTGTGTTTATTCAGAAACGATATTTCCAATGGAAGTTTTTATGGTATTGAAAATGTGTTTAGTTCTTTGCTTTAATACTTTAGAAGTTCTCCATAGTGGGTTTAAAGAAGTATCTAATTCGGGCAACGTTTTGTGCTATAATTTAATTCCGAAGAAACATAATTCGTTTTGGATTCGTTTGTTCAAACGGTTCAATGATTTTGATCACTACTCCTCTACCTCTCTTTAAATTGCATCTTTAAATATTTCTGTGTTATATTAAAACTTGTCTAAAAGCCAAAGTCGTCTTCTTGGGAAGTCTTTGTATTTGTTGAGAAACGCTATTTCCAATGAAAGTGGTTATGGTATTGGTAAATATAGTTCTATGTTGTTTTTTGTTGGCTTTATTATAATTAAACTAATATAATAATGGCTTGCCGAAATAACAACGTATATTTTAACTTAAGTGATCAGAGCATACATCGTTAATGGTTTTTTTATAAAATGGAAATTATGTGGGATATTTGTCAAAAAAAATCTAAGTTAGGCAGCCGGCTTCTTGGATCCGATGGTATATACATATAAAATGTTTGGGAGGAAAAACTATTTGAATTTGAAGCTCGTCAAACGGCATATTTTCCTACGTATTGTTCCGTTCACAATTCCAGTATGAGTGTCTGCAGTTAAAGAAGTGTTCAGTGATGGAATCAACTGGTGTTGGATGCAATAAGTATATATGAATATCATGTTTATCTAGAAAAATGAATAATTATATTTTTCTTAAACTTATTCAAAATTTCTCTGGCATTCCATATCATTATTTATATCAGAATTTCAATGTCAGAATTTGCGATTAGCTTGCAATGATGTATTCAAAGTGATGACCTCAAATTGGCCAGCTTTAGACTTACATTCACTTAATTTTGAAGTTTAGTAGTGGGTTTATTCAATTCTTCTAAACAATAGTAAATAGTTGTTTGGTTAATTTTTATACCCTCCATCATAGTATGGAGGGTATATTAAGTTTGTCACTCCGTTTGTAACACCTCGAAATATACATTTTAGACCCCACAAAGTATATATATTTCCGATCAGCATAAATTCTATGTCGATTGAGAGATGTTCGTCCGTCTGCCCATCTATCTGTCTGTGGAAATCACTCTAGACTCCGAACGAAAAGAAGTAGGTTGATACAATTTTACTCAAATGTGTATTATATCTGCAGGTCTTTTGGTATTCAAAATGGGTGCTATAGCCCCCATGTAATGCTACCTCCCAATATTCGGTGTTTTCATGATTTTAGCGACATTATTCACCGGAATTGTTTCAAATTTGGTATTTGAAGTTCGTATCGGATGCTACAGCCTATGACAGAAATTGTCTGTGCAAGTCCACGTCTTCATATATCCACCATATAACGGTACCTCCCGATATTCGGTACATTGATGATTTTAGCGATATTATTCACCGGAATTGTTTCAAATTTGGTATTTGAAGTTCGCAATGGGTACTACAGCCTATGACAGAAAATTGTCTGTTGCCAAAATCTTTCCAAATGGTGGTGGGTATTCAAAGATCGGCCCGAACGAACTTACAGCTTTTTTACTTGTTAGATTGATGATTTGTCAAATTATTTGTTGAAATTCCATGCGCCATTAAATTGATTTAATGCATTTTTGTTTTGTCGGGATAAACAACACATATTATCTCAGGTTACATTTCCTAGATTTCTTAGTTGACAGTTTTAATTTTTGAATAATTTTTACATCCATTTTATCCATTTTTTAATAATAATACATTGTAAAGCTTTTCAAACTGTTAGTGACTCCACCATAACAGGGAGGGTGTATTAGGTTTGTCTGTCCGTTTGTAACTCATAACTTTAGCCTCAAAAAGTTTATATTCATGATTAGCGTAAAATTCTAATCCTATTTAACCATGTCCGTCCGTTTGTTGTTATCACGCTATCTTCCGAAAGAATTGAGAAATAGTGCTGAAATTTGATACACATGTGTTTCGAATCTGAAGATCCAAAAGGAGATAATTTGTATCAGCCAATTTTTTCGTACGGCTTCCCTCATTTGGACGACTTTCGGCACATTTTTCTTTGAAAATATCTGGAATATGGTATTTAAAACTTGTTACGGGTTCCACCAACCTCCTTATGGTACCACCCTATACCCGGTATTCTGATAGCTTTCCCGAATTTTTACAACGGAATTGTCTGAAATTCTGTAAAATTCTAAAAGATTCTAAAGGATGTCTGACTTACAAAAAAAAAAATGTTGATATAAGTCCTTTTTTTGACCTTATATATCATGGTGGAGAGCATTAAAAGTTCGGCCGATTTACTACTTTTTTACTTGCTTGTTTTAAAGATGTTTCAATGAGGACAAAAGACGTCAACACAATTCAATGTATACTCATCGACAGTGCAAGCACTATTTATTTCTGGACATTCATATATAACAAATAGATTGATTGATTTTAGCTGGGTTCTAATTGTTTTTCTGAATAATTTTTTTCAAGCGAGAGATAAAATTGAGATTTCATTCCTAATGCATAGCTGTCACAATCAGAACCCTGTTTTACAAAATGCTAATTGAAATGCATTAGTTAAAAAAGCATAAGCTACAAATCCACCATTCTCATTGTTTTCTATTTTCAATTTTGTTCGTTAAGAGCACTTATATATTAAAACAAATGTACATTTATAATTTGAATACACAAAATCCTTATACTATTTACGCGGATCATAGTGCTCCCATTTGCGGTGATTCAATTTTGAAAAGTCCTTACAATTCGTAGCTATATCTGTTAAATATTTAGATAGCTTTAGCAGTTCCTTGTCCGTGCTACGATTCAAGTGGGCTTGGCGAAAAGGTCTAATGCGTAGGCCAGAACGTGGATTCATAAGAAAATTACGTCTTATATCATCAAACATAATTGTGTTGGCAGCTGAATACTGAGGATAAAGACCCCATATAACACCCAAGGGTTTAACATCGATTACACCGCGATCCGGTGTGTGCACAGAGATCATGGCGTGCGAATCTAAATAAAACATAATTTTATAAGATGGATGATTCGAAACACCCAGAAGTTTCATTTTCTCCTCAATCCAACGCATGCCCGTTGCCGACCAAATAACAATATCATAATGCTCATAGGCACATGTGAGAAATTCATGTAAATAGGGTCGCATCAATTCCGATCCTGACTCAGCGGAAGAACGATGGTCGAATAAAGTGTAATCTATATCCAAAACTAATAAATGCTTTCCTGGACGTGGGGGATTGAGTTCAGTAATGGTATAGTCCTTAATGCGTTTTTGAATTTTGGCCAAATAAATTGCCGAATTTTCCAAGGACTCTTCTTCGTTGTCGTTATCTTCCAAATCATCGATGATCTCACCAATATCATCGGGCTTTTGGCAGGCATCCTCAATATCAGCCTCTGTTGAACCGACCATCATCAATTTAAAATTGGGTTTAAGCTCTAAGTTCCCTAACTTTAAGCTATCTTCCGCCGGTTTACCTACAATAAAACACAATAACTCAAATTTGTCACACAACACACTTTTTCACCAGATTTACCTTTATATTTCAAGTTGAGCAGCTTTTGGCGATTGGGACGCACCAAAGTTCTTTTGAATATCTCATGACGTAGCACAGCTACCGTATCCTGATCCGTTAAGTCGGTTATGGGATATTCCTTGGCACTCCACTTAACCACAATCGTAATTTCCCGAACTTCACTCATGTTTGCCAATATTTCAAATTAATTTCTATTCCTTAATTAACCATTACCATTTGCCTCGCCAAAATGATGCATTGGTATACTAAGTAGACTGATATCCGAGTATGTAGGAGATTGCCAAGTGAAATGATATCCTAGTATGAAGAACAACAACAAAATTGCAAAGTTTGTTTAGAATGTGGACAGCAAAGAGATATGAAAGTTGAGACTGAGGAAATGGAGGATGGCGAAAAATATTTCGCATTTTACTTCTAAAGACTACTGGCCACACATTGACTTTTAAGGGTTACAAACAAAATTCAATCAAACTTATTTTTCACCCAACCCAAGGTAAAATTAAGAAATTAAACGTATTTTCTTGTATGTATCCTCAACATAGCACTGATGCGAAATTTTATAATAAAAGAAATATAACTGATAAATATCAAAAAGTAAACTAAAAAAACAATAATACAGGTAACAGAAAGTGGGGATGTACAACGAACTTTCAAACAACAAATGTTTAATAAATTATTTAAATTTCAAAAATGTACATTGTATATACATCTTTGTAATATACATGGTACAATGAAATCAAGGAAACCTCATTTCAAATTAGCAATACCAGATCTGAATTGTCTGTAATTTACCTTGTCAATTTTCAATGCATAAAAAAACAGTTTCCATCTCTGATTTTATGTGTATAGAATGGATTCATTAATATAGATTTTGAAAATGAAATGTTGTCAAATGTATAAATTTGAAAAAATTGTAAACATATGATTACACGACTTTACCTTATTGGTTCTACCATGGTAATATACATACCTTTTAAACTAAAAACAAACTGAATATACATAAGGTATTCTACATTTAGCCATTTTAGGATATAGGCATGGTACAATGAAGAGAAGGTAGGTCAACTTTGAAAAAATTGCAAGTATAGAGGTCTATCTGTTTGGCTTGTAATGTCAGAATTACTATCAAAACAATAAAAAAGCAAACAACTTGTTGCATTGATTTTGAATAAATAATTTAAAACCGCGAAAACTGAATGATAGTTCAAAATTTCTTATCAAAATCATATTCTATATATCTCTTATGGTTTATTTCGCGACAAAAACTGTAGATTTTGTCGATGCATATGTTGCAATAAGCATTTTGAAAACACCCGAATTTGAATATTTTCTGAACAATTTTTTATTATTGAAAAAAATACGCACACATAAAAAAATGAAGTTGACATATTAAGCCAGAAAAATAAAAAAAATTGAAATCATATTGTAGTTCTGCCCTACCTTGAATTCATTGTACCAAAGGCATGGTAGAAAAATACAGGTGACAGAAAATGTTGTTGTAAAACAATCGTAACAACAACAACATACAAATTTGTTTTTGTACGTAATACAAGTGTCAGAGTTATGTGTCCAAAAATGTAAACAAAATAATTAATTTTCAATAAATTATTTTAATTTGAAAAATATAAATTTTTGGAATTTGGATTATTAAATTGAAAATGCAGAAGAATAGTTCTCAAAATATTTAATTTTAATGCTTTCACATCATTCCCCTAAATGTATAGTTGTTAGATGTTGGTCCTAATCTCTCAACACTTCAAGCAATCGCTAGAAAATCGTGGAAAATGCAACATCCCTTTCAAGTTGAAACCAAACAGCATACATACATAAAGTATACTACATTTTGCAATTGTAGGAAACATGAAATATACGAACGTGGTGTTGCTGTTCCTTAACCGAAAAAAAATTGACGAACCAATTTTTCAACAATTTTTACAAGTTTGACTAATTTTTCATTAAAAAATACAAGTGCAAAATTTGTTTGACAGTTCATTGTCCCAGCATACTCGATTCGATACTGTAGAGTTGAATCAATTGGAGTTTTCTGCTACCATGGTAGAAGAATATATGAAGACGCTTCGACACAGCCGCTGTTACAATGAAGTGTAAAACAAATTTTAAAATTGAAAATTTTGAATGAAAAATTGTTGAAACTTACAAAAAATTTTGAAAAATTTATATCATAACATAACATAATTTACTTTGTCAAATGTCACCTTAACTTCTTGATTCTACCATTAGTTGAATGGTTCATTAAATTGTTAATTTGTTTTCAAAATTTAAATAAACCTTTTTTGACGCTGAAAACAGATTGTTGACATATATTGCAGTTGTCAGGAGAATAAAAATTATGTTTACAAATTATGTTTACAGAAAATGTAGGCATCAGCTGGCCTTACTTGTCGACCTTATGATTGGGCCATGGACTTGGTATACTAAAATGATATAGTAGAGCTACCAGCTGATTATGCAAACTCTTTGAACAAAACAACTAACAATGATTATCTTCGTCTACCCTTTAACCACTTTTGTAGTTTGACGTTTATAAAGGGTGTTTTTTTTAAGCTCGATAGAACTTGAAATTGTAAAAATTAAAACAAAAATCAAATCAAATGTTTTTTTATTTGAAAGATCAATACGTGACATTAACATTTGAAAATGATTTCGGGCATATGGGCACCGTGGCTGTTCTTGACGAAGTGTATTCTGGACGTCCAGTTTTTGGCCACTTTTTCGAGCACTGCTAGTCGGATGTCAATTCTTGCTGGTTTATCGACATAAACCAGTGACTTCACGTAGCCCCACAGGAAATAATCGAGAGGTGTCAAATCGCACGACCTTGGAGGCCAATTGACAGGTCCACTTCTCGAAATCAACTTATCGCCAAAATTTGATTTCAATAAGTCGATGGTTGCGTTCGCCGTATGGCACGTAGCGCCATCCTGTTGAAACCACATCTCCTCCGGATCAATGTCATCCATATTTTTAAACAAAAAATCATTGATCAAGGTGCGGTAACGATCTCCATTTACCGTAACGCGAGCTTCGGCCTCATTTTGAATGAAGAAATAAGGTCCGATGATGGCACCAGCGTGAAAACCGCACCATACGGTGCATTTTTCTGGATGTAATGGAGTCTGTAGGGTCTCTATTGGATTGGTCTCAATCCATATGCGGCAATTTTGCTTATTAACAAACCCGTTAAGCCAAAAATGCGCCTCATCGCTGAACACAATTTTGCGATAAAACAACGGGTCGTTTGCCAACTGCTCTTGAGCCTGATTTTCAAAGTAAATTTGGATAATTTCGTAGCGTTGTTTAAGCGTGAGTCTACTCATGATGATTTGTTAGAGTATGCTGAAACAAATAAAAGTTTCATCAAAATTTAATTTTTTGTGTTACTTTTTACATTTTAAAGTTCTATCTTGCTTAAAAACACCCTTTACATCAACGCGTATAAAAAGTAACGGTACTTTTAATACAGCAATAATTCCAAAGTCTATGTAATTCTTGGCCGCGTTCCGGTGTAAATTTTGAGAGGATCCCAAAAAAGCTACAAACACTTCCTCTAATATTTTGTAAATAGAACAATAAATAAAAAATTCCCATAAATCTATATGTATAAAAAATAGTGCAACAAATTTATAGCAATTGATAACGGCTGGGATTTGACTTAAATTTCTATCGGTTGCTTGTAATTGCAGTGAAAAAAATGAAAATTTTGAGAACAACCTCCAGAAAAGTCGTAGTCGAATTGTTCCAAAATAGCTTTTTCAATAAAGAAACGCCATCAAAAATGTAATTTATTTTGTTACAATCAATACATAAAAGACAGTAATGTTAGTTTCTACCATGGTAGAAGAATAGAGGTAGTCGCTTCGACACAGCTGCTGGGACAATGTTCGCAAGCGTTGATGCATCTACCTATATTCTTCTACCATGGTTTCTACCTTGGTACAATGAAGAGAGAGATACCAGCTGATTACAATTTTTATCTAAGTGTGACCGGATTCTGCCAATTTTGTGTTTTGTATTTATTGGTTTGAAAAATAAAAAAAAATATATTCAAAATCAATGAATGTTCCTTCCATTCATTGATTTTGAATATATTTTTTACACTTGAAACTTGATTGATTTGATTGTACAGTATGGATAATATTTTTTAAAGAAAATCCACGTATTTCTTTAATTAAATAAGGGAAAATATCAAATATATAAACTCGATCTTGTTGCATACATTTTGGATAATTCTGACAGGAAACGAACATAGCCTCAGATTGTATTTCTGTAGTTTTACGAAGTAGTTCTACCCCCTTATTGTACCATGGTTCCTACACTTATATTTCATTAGAGCTTGGACTGATTGTGACAATTCGCAGCAATTAGGAATGGTATCTTGACAGGAAAAAAATAAAATTCAATGAAATGTCGAATATCAAGAGGTATCATATGCTCTGTTCTAGAACTGCAAGAATGTAAATGACGGCAGGATTTTAGCGCGACTCTGCAATCCCTTTATGAAATGTCACAAAATATGCCTAGCCATGACTTCAAGCTTCTTATGTACTTACACCTTACACAGCTTTCCAAAACTACAGAAATACAGTCATGAGATAATTCCCGCTTTCTTTCAGTATTATTCTAAATTATATGCAACAAATTGTTTTCATTTATTTGACATGTATCCTAATTTGTAAACTGAAATAAATAGCACAAAAGATGAATGAAATACCTGAATTTTTATCCAAAAAATATGATCCAACATTTTCAATCTTTCAATTTATCAATTGCTTAATATATTTAATGCGTGTCTTGCAATGAACGTTCCTTCCAATCATGTATTTAGTCTTCATTTTTATTGTTTTTGTCATGGTAGAATGAAGAAGGTAAAGTCATGCAATCATATGTTATATGTACCCAGTTTTACCATGGAATTGAACAGTTTGGATCATATTTTTTAAAGAAAGGTATCATATATAAAAGGAAATATTTAATAATTGAAAACAACTTGTTGCATATAATTTTGAATAATTCTGACAGGAAGCGGACATAGCCTCAGAGCTGCAATTATGTAGTTTTACGAAGCTTTTCTACCTTCTTATTGTACCATGGGTTATACCAAATTGTGTATAGTTAGTTAATATATTATTACAGGAGGACCTGAGAAACAAATTAGTTAGTTAGTTAGTTACTACGCTTTTAACTCAAGAAAGGCTGGACCATGGTTCAATCATGATACAATAAGGAGGTATAACAGCTTCGTAAAACTACAGAAATACAGCGTTGAGGCTATACCCGCTCCCTATCAGACTCATTCAAAACTATAAACAAGTTGTTTTCATTTTTCATATTTTTCCTCACTTTAAAATGAGTTAAATATCGCGAGAAATGAATGAAATGAATGAATTTTCATTCAAAAATATGATCTAAACTGTTCAATCTTTCAATTTCATGGCTAAACTGGTTAATAGCTTTAATGCGCAAGCCGCAATGTATGTGTCTTGCAATCATTGGTTTTGAAAAGATTTTGTTTTCATTTTTTAAAACAATAAATACATGCACACATTTTGCAGAAGTCGGGCACACTGTATACCCATGGTACAATGATATCAAGGTAGGGCTATGATACCATGATTTTAATTTTTTTTATTTTCTTGGCCTAATATGTCATCTTTATTTGTTTGTGTATGTGTTTTCTTTTCAATAACAAAAAAAATTGTTCAGAAAACATTCAAATTCGGGTTTTTTCAAAATGTTTATTTCAACGTATGCATCGACAAAATCTAGAGTTTTTGTAGCGAAATAATCTTTTAGAGATATATAGTACATGATTTTGAAAAGAAGTGTTGACCTTTCTTTAAGTTATCGCGTTTTTCAAATATTTATTCAAAATAAATGCAACAAGTTGTTTGCTTTTTTATTGTTTTGATAGTAATTCTGACATTACAAGCCAAACAGGTAGACCTCTATACTTGCAATTTTTTCAAAGTTAGCCTACCTTGTATTCATTGTACCATGTGTATACCTATAAAATTTCTAAGTTTCAAATTAAAGTCATGTGGCTGAGAATGTAGTCAGGACATTTTTAAACATTTAAGTGTTTATTTCTATTCAGGAATTACTACCGATTCGGTGGACGAAAATTCCAAAACCGATAATTTGTTACATTGACAGCAACAGTAATTTTAGTTAAGTTTAAATAGAAAACATATACATAACTTTACAACCTATATGAGGTAGTTTTGTGTATTATTATTTTCATAAAAATATGCATTAAACACTAAAACCATAGTCCAGCAACGCTAATGAATTATACAAAAAATATGGGAATGTTTGTAATAAAAAATATATCAATTGGGCGATTTAAAAAAAAATTTACAACGTTAATAATAAGAAAATTTTAATATATGGACTAGACGTATTTGGGTAATATTTTTTTTTTTTTTTTACTTATAGATTTTGAATTATGGCATCGAATCAGAAAAAACCAAAAAGATTGCCAACAATCGCGAAAATGGTGAATGCAGCTCTAATGAGTTCTGATGGAAGGAAAGGTAAATATGTAGGTTATTTTATGTATTAATTATACCCCATCAATCCCCTACAGGTATAACAATAATTGGAATTTTGAAATTCATGCATCTCACATATTCAGCAGAAACAACTCCTCTCAGAAAAAAGTTAGTTAGTAAATATATGACTGCATTAATGGATTGCCAAGCCATACATCATATAAAAGGTCGTGGTTTAGTGGGACGCTTTAAACTGGCTGACAGAAGAGAATTCGAACGAAAAATAAAAACAACAAATCAAACCCGTACTGAAACCAGAAATACAAATGAACCACTCAAGAGTTTAAGAAGGCCACAAGAGAACGTTCCCGTGGATGATCCACCACCTTTAAGTCAAGTCTATGAATTAGATCAACCCGGGACCAGCCAAGAATTAATGGCACGAAACAGAAATATTTTGTGTATAAACGATGATCAATTCGATACTCCAATGGCTCCGCGACATGCTTCGACACCAATGCCGGCAATAAACTTTCCATTAGCTCCACACCGTTTACAGACTGAAATTAAAGAGCAATCCGTATTGAATAGCATAGAAACAACCCCACGGACATCTTCTGCTGGGAAAAAAATACGTCGTCGAAAGGTATATTAGAATTTTATGTAAGTTATTAAATTTTTTTGCCGAAATATTTAATTTAGTTTGTTTTATTACGTTTATATTTTGTATTTCAGATACGCAAAAATGTTTCTGGCTATTTAATATAGATGTAAAAATGTATACATTTTATTTTTTATAATTACCTATTATTTGATTTTTTTTTAATTTTTTTTATTGTTGTAAACTTTTTCTATGTATATACAGTTATTTTTGTAAATAGTCATCTTAATTGATAAAAATGTAAATATGTATAATTTGTTTTTAATTTTCCTTGTAAACTGCGAAGTATTTTATACTTTATATTTTATATTTTTAAATTGTTATACATACTAATATTTTTAATTGCATTTTATATTTAAATGCGTAATAAACAATTGTTACAATCTTTAAATATTGAACATGATTTTGAAAAGAAATTTTGACCATAATTCATTTTTTGAGTTGTTTGTTTAATTATTAAAAATCAATGCAAAAAATTTAAAGTTTAGATTTTAAACAAAACAACTTGTTTCATTTGTTTTAATTGTAATTCAGACATTACAATAGACATCTGCAAACAAGCATGAGCTGATGGCTTTTGAAGCTAATGTTTCTGTTGTAATTTCCGTTATATTAATTATAAGTATAATTGTATATAAATAAATACAATAAAGATTTTCGAACCCAGGTCTCTTTGGATCCAGACAATAGTCTATGTTCTTTCATAATCTCTTCATCCGATCATATTTGAACATTAGATCTGGTACCTATTCTACAAAATATTTAATAATCACTATTCACAGAAAATGTGATATTATTCTCAGTTCTTTTCAAAGTATTAATACTAGATTTAGTGAAAAGTTTGAATTATTTAAACGTTAAAGTAAACATAAATAAGTGGTCAAATTCTGAGGATATATTTCTGTCGAAGCTCCGACTGAACTTTTTTTCTTAAAACTTGGACTTTTATTGATGGGCGATTCCTTTAGGGCTTCGAGATAAACAATTATGATACGTCCTTCAAATAAAGAAAACGTAAATAAGTGGTCAAATTCTGAGGATATATTTCTGTCGAAAATCCGACTGAACTTTTTTTCTTAAAACTTGGACTTTTATTGATTCCTTTAGGACTTCAAGGTAAACAATTGGTCTCATTCCAAAAATAATAATTTTTGGCGTGAAATAAATCAACAAATCCACTATTTGGGATCCGCAAATATGCTTTCGAAATATAGCCACAACTGACACCCGGAATTTTCTTCAAATATCCTCGATTTGGGAGCCGGTAATTATCTTTAAAATTTGAGGATTTGACGTGTTGAAGGAATCTACATTTTTAGAAACCCACGGCAAAATACATTGTTTGGAGCAGCAGCCTTTGTAAATTATCCTAATTGTGATGGTTGTTTCTTGATTTCTTTTCTTATTTCGAGTCTTCGACTTTTTGTTTGCTTTTCACAAAATTTCCGTGCAAAATATATATTTTTATACGTAAATAAAAACACAAAAATAATTCAATTCACACACAAAATTGGCAGAAGTCGGGCACACTTAGAAAAAAAATGTAATCAGCTGAGAGCTCTACCTTACCGTTTTATTGTACCGTGGTACATCGATTTCAAAATCAATGATTGGAAGACGCCAGTTTTGCTATGGAATTGAAAGATAGAACTGTTTAAATCATGATTTTGATAGAAAATCCAGGCATTTCATTCACCTTTATTGCTCTTTAACTGATTTTAAAAATGAAGAAAAATATTGAATAAATGGAAACAACAAATTAGACAGGAAGCTGTTCTACATCCTACCATTAGGAATGTAGCTAAAACCACCAAAATATCGTAGTGGACGGTATTTCACGTCCCCATGGCAGGGTATTGGTTTAAGTTTTCAACTAGCAATATTTATATATTTTTTCACCTCATAACACAGGATCGTTCGATCCTCACGAAAATTTTCATAAGGATAGGGTTAGGCTCAGAAGGTCTAGGCCTATTGTGTTTAAAGATGTTCGCATTATATTTAGGGGTTAAAATGGACCAACAACTAAAAATGTTCCTGATGTTGCAGCCGTTATAAAGGTCACAAATAGAAACCAGAGGACACGGAATCTCGCATTTACGCTTATCTGATCATGGCACATACAACCGAATTCAGCCTACAAGCAACTACTTCAAATTTGCTGAAAATCGGTAAGATATGGCTACAGATCCTATATATGCGTTTCGTAATATGCACTCTACATTGATATTTGGTACCAGATACTAGCTCCGAAATACGTCTGACAAATTTTATCAAGATATCTTCAACCGATTTCAACGTTATTGTGCACCAAATATGTAATATCAGTCCAAACTTTAGTTTTTGCACTTTAAACCAAATTTTTCCATTTCCAAACTTGGTATTCGGTATTTTGATGATTTTGGCGACATTATTAACCGGAATTGTTTCAAATTTGGTATTTAAAGTTCGAAATGGATACTACAGCCTATGACAGAAAATTATCTAGGCCCATACATCAGTACCTTCCTATATTCGGCATTTTGACGATTTTAGGTACAATACCCACAGAAATTGTTTGAGATGTCATATTTAAAGTTTGTAATGGATGCTACAGCCTATGACAGAAATTTGTCTATGCTGGTCCAGGTCTATATACGATATTTTAATGATTTTAGCTACATTATTCACCGTTTATTTCAAGTTTCTAATTTGAATATGGTTATGACAAATAATGCCTATGTAGGTCCCTGTCGTATAGACCCCAATATAACAGCTATATTCGGTATTTTTAAAACTTTAACAGAATTTAATTTTTTGAAAATTCCCAAATTCATTCCAAATTGTGGAGGGTATTCAAAGTTCGGTCGGCCAAATTTACTGTTTTTAACTTGTTCATATTGGAACTCATTTATCATTTTCAAATAATTTGAAAATGTATTTCCAACAAATTAAGCAAGACGTATTTGCATATATTTTTGTAAAATTAGAATGTGAAATTATCTGACGATTTCAAATGTTAAAAAAGGCAGAATGTTTAGATGGAATACAAATTTCGAATTTTCAAAATTGGATGTTTTATTTATTTATTTTTTTTTTTTTTTAACGAAAAAAAATGTATTTCTTATGATAACATGAGATTACCTTATATAATTTTACCATGGACCACAAGTAAAATATTCCAAAAATATCGATTATAAATAAACGTTACAATAAAATGAACTTTACCGTAGTTTTTAATGTATGAAATTACAAAATATAATTAATACAAATAACAGTTCTTACTATATAAATAAAAAAATATTACATGAAGCGATAAAAAAAACAAAAACAGTTCATTTTAACATTATAATAATAGAAAAATATAATTTACCGCATACACATTTAAGCAAATATTTTTCGCAAACAGAAAAATATTCCTAAAAATGTCTGCCTATATGCAATATTATAACATCTTTTATTTACCAATTTTATTTCTAAAACTAAAAGAGCAAAAATAGTTTTCAATGTTTTTTTTTAAAGAAAAAATAATTTAATTCGCATAAACAAATATTTGTTTTGCTTCTTGACATTGTAGTTACAAATGTTTTAGGCTGTGTTCCTCCATATTATTATCTTCATTACAATATTTTTTTAAGTTTAATAAGAACCATAAGAATTTCTAAAGACCGATATTTGAGACACTATTTCTTTGCATTATAAATGCAATTAATCTTATGTTTAAACTATTTCAAATTAATCCCACCATAACGTGAAGTACTAACAAATACATTTATATACAAACTTTTTCAAAATCTTGGCAAAAAACGAAATTACTTTTAAAGTATATACAAAAAATAACAAACATATTTACATTTACTGCATATTAAATATTTTTGTAAGACTCCGTTTCTTTTTAGGTGGCGTTGTTGATCGTACTGGAGTGCTATACGAGTCCCTTATATCATCCCCTATATTATGATGACCATTTATTTGTGACAACGCAACAGTTGGTGGTGTGTCAAACACACTGAACCGTTTTCGAGTTGGGGGTGTTCTTTGAGGCTCTAGAGATGGCGTTCCGTCAGCCTCCATGCCTTCTGATTTTGTATCTTCTCTGACAGTAGAGTTTCTGTTTGCTTTTACTTCTTTCGAATTCTGTGTTTCGATCAGTTTTCGGAACTTCGCAATACTAACTATCCTTATTTTACCTTTTAAACCAACACCGGTCACATTAACTACATATTTTGTTTCCATTAAATGTTTTAGTCTTTGCTTAATAAGTGCGTTTCGACGGCCGCTCATGGAAATTACATACTTGCCTGTAATGTAAGATGTTATTTTTTTCAAAGAAACTCCCATTTTCGCTTGTAAATTAACTAGGGCATCATCGACCATATCCGATGTTGTGGGTAATCTTTTTTTTATAACTCTTATTTCATAGGAGTGCGCCACAGATGTCTCGGCTTTATCGCCTACAAAGATAAAGGCTTTAAACAATATAAAATAGTCTTATAATATAAACTCACTTGGCATTTTTTTGCATTCTTTTTTCAGTAACTCCTTGCTGTGGAAGCGATAATCTGAAATATGTTCATTGATGATTATTGTCAAAAATATAACGGCTCTTTTTGTTTATTTACATTTTTAATCAGAGGGTTGCCAGTATTTATGATTGGCAGGCACTGCTTCGATATTGTTCATTCGGCCAAGATTTTGTTAATGTTTTTATTACGATAACCAATTTTTCCTTTATGATATCGAAAAAAAATTGCAAAACTAGTAGATTCTTGCAGGTAGTGGAACTGAGCAATTGATCTGTTACAGTATCAGCAAGTATGAAACATTTTACTACAATAACAGATTTTTCCCTTATGATATCGAAAAAAGTAGTAAATTCCATGGTACAATGAATACAAGGTAGGCTAACTTTGAAAAAATTGCAAGTATAGAGGTCTACCTGTTTGGCTTGTAATGTCAAAATTACTATCAAAACAATAAAAAAGCAAACAACTTGTTGCATTGATTTTGAATAAATAATTTAAAAC